TACCTCTCCCCAAGGAGTGGGGATCCACTGAAGCCTCTCGTTCTTAGGGCAACGCCGCAGGACGCAGGTCTCTTGGGCTTTGGGTCTGTGGTGCTGTCTGCACATGCTGTCGGGCACCACCACAGCTTTGGCCCCTGGATCGGTGCTGCGGCAAAACACGGTCCGCTTCCTCAGGCCACGGCCGCAGGTCTTGGAGCACTGAACACGGACAAGTAGGAAGTAAAAGTCATTGTGGAGCAAAAGTCGAAACTACAGATGATCCTTGGGATATTAATGATTCACTAAGCAACGGTTTAATGGCCATACACAGATTACTTGCACGCACATACACTGTAACTTATAGTCTTATGATTGGTTTAACCTTCAGCTTCCATCACATTTAAACATTAGGCCCTATTAACAGCAGTTAAATCCTTGGCACAGACACCGTTAATGCATTCCTAATTCACCACACGGTGGATAAGCAAACAGAAGGTCACTGGTTTGATGGCAGCACATTATGGCCTGTCATTAAACACAATAAACCAATAACTCTGGGATGAATGTGACCCCGACTCATCAAAGTCCTCACTAACAGCAGACACTGGTTCTGTAAACTCCGTGTGAACTGCAGAGAGATGGACAGCAGAGTCGAACTGCCCCACCGGGACTGAGGAGCACAGCCATCAGGGCAGTTTATCTGAACACACCGCATTAATTTATTAGAGAACAGACACACACATCTGAGCATCTACGCTCACGACTACACACATCCCAGTTGTCCTCTTGTCACTAAAAGCTCCGATTGATCTTTTCAGGGACGCTGGCCTCGTCTCTGCCTGACCGCAAACTGAACTCAGGCTGCTGTTACAAAATAGTGCAAACACACAATTTGAGTGTCCAGAAGAATGATGGCTGAATGTCCGGACTGCATAGGTCACATCAGCTAAACAACCTGGAACAGTTTACAAAGTATCAGATGCGCTGCCAGGCTATTAATATTGTATACAGGGATATGAGCACTGAAAGGCTCAGTCTATTATGTGATGCACTGTAGATAAAGAGGAACCAGCCAAATCCATCAACTAGCCAGATCATTAAACAATCAAGAACATGCTTTGCAAAGAAACAAAACACAGCTCTGTGCAGCGAATAACTACTTATTGCTTATAAAAGAGTTCAACGGTTATTTGACTCCACCTTATTAATTTAATTTTATTTATTTAGGACAGTGCATGTTAATGAACATAAATGTAAAAAAAAAA